GTCACTTTCTTTATTCGGATTCTATTCTTTTTCTCTATAAATCACAAATCCGTTCTTTTATTGAATATTGTTGCCATATCTGAAGCGGCTCTTCGATTGATGCTCTTTCTCTTTTGGACAAAGTGCAGAACGCATTGTAAACATAATTGGTCCTGCTGTTGCAGCCAACCTTCAACCATTGTTACATCGTGGTAATGTTGCTTCTTTTTCTCCTTTTTATAAACACTATATTAGGCGCTGCTCTATTGAGCTGACGTTTCTTGTATCATCTACTAAAATTCATTCTTGTTTTACTCGTCATTTAATTAAGTTTCATCCTTATACTTTTGCTGTTCTTAAGTGCTCAAAAATTCTTTTTTGTCTAGTTTTTTCCTTGAACATCAGTTCTTTAGAGTTTGCTCCCTTCATCTTGTTTTCCTGGTTCATATAATTTGAAATCTCTTAGGCTGTCTGCTAATCTTTATCTTTGAGATATCTATTGCTCGAAACATAAAACAAAAATTTTACTTTGATATCAGTTTGATAATTTTTCTTTGAGATAAGAAATCAAAACATTTTTTTTTCTCATAGATTTTTAAAATAATACTCTGAGCATTTTTTAGGATATGGTTTTAAGTGACCGCACTGGTTCTTGTAACAATGTAACAATCTTGTAACAATTATAGCAACAAGTGAAAGTTTTCTAAAAAGAGCTCTAAAATCCTATTCATACAACACTTATTTTGACAGGTGACAACTAACCACATTTTATTTTAAACGCGTTTTATGTTTTTTTAATGTTATATATATAACATTATTTAAAATAATGTTTTATATAGGGGCGACGACACAGGTTTTGAAGTAAGTGTGTGTGTGGGGGGGGGGGGGGAACTAACCACATTCTATTTTAAAACGCGTTTAAAATAAAATGTGGTTAGTTGTCACCTGTCAAAATAAATGTTGTATGAATAGGATTTTAGAGTTCTTTTTAGAAAACTTTCACTTGTTGCTATAATTGTTACAAGATTGTTACATTTCTTAAAAAAGTTCTCTATATCTAGAATTTTCTTTAAAAAAAAGAAAGGTCCTTTAGAAAAATAGTTATGAGGGGGGGGGGGGAGGGAGAGGTGCACTCCTGGCCTCCCGGTGTCGTCGGCCCTGTTATTAAGTAATATAATGTTTTATAGTATACAGTATAAAACTGTAAAATAAATAAAACAATTTAGCAAAATTGTTTTATGAAAAAAAAAAATTTGCTACGTTGACAAAACAACCATGCAGTATTATTTTATTATTTTTTTTATACAGCTTTTTACAGTAACAATTTTTTAAATAAAAAAATAGGTTTTATCGTTAATACTAGGTATATATACCTAGTACTGACAATAAAACCTATAAAAGGATCTTGAAAAGATGGTTGACAACTTCTAAGAGGAGATGCAATTCCATCGGTGGAATGATTTCCAAAATCAGAACATTGACAGGCCCGCAGATGATTGGCTTTCGAATGACATTGCGAAACAGCTTTGCTTTAGCATCAACCTCGCCAGATTGCTGAAAAGACTCAAGACTTGAATATATTGAGCCCAGTGTTCGCAAGTTTCCAGATTTGACAAGACAATTGGATTTGACGTCACACCAGGTGCATGGGTGCGTACTTGAATGAGTTCGAAGACCACAAATTATATTTGCAACTTTCATATCACAAGCCAAAATTAGTTTAACTCCATTTGCATTAATCAGTTACCAGATTTGTTATAATATTGGAGTATTGTTTCTGGCAAATCTTCTGAAACCCCAACAATAATTTGTCTCTTGACTTCAGTGTCTTTAATAGTTCTTTGAGTGAGAGGTTGTTGTTGGTACGGTGAGCTGGTTTCATCCCTTAACGCAGTATCAACAATGCTTAGGCAAAACTTGAAAAAATCTTTGCCACCATCAATTCCAAGCTCAACAAAATAGCCATCAGAAATTTTACGGGACTAAATAACACGATTCCACAAGACTTGATAAATCATTGCAGTGAGCAACAACATGAACTGTACAAGAATCTGTTTTTTCGTCTGTGATTTTTAAGTCACTGCAGGTGAAGAAATCGCTTAATTGTTGACCTATTCTTAGAAAATTCATGTAGAAATTTCGCTCTACCATCTTGCTGCTTGATGTTTTGTTTACAGTTCTAACAAGTTTTTTTAATCCGTTGTTTGACAGGCCCGTATTTAATTGCACATTTACAAGGGCTACAGTGGTTAATTTCGGAGCACTTGATGGTGTCTGCGTATTACTTTGACCTAAAACCAAAACATACATATTTTATAGTTACAATAAACTTTGTTTAGAAAGTTTGTGTAAAACTTTCAAATTATTCGTTTTTAAAGAAATTAGAAACTTGTCAAGAATATACTTCTTGAAATCTATCTAGTGTTATTTCTTAATAGCCAAGACTTTATTTCAATATATATGGTAAAATTATTTAAGTATAAATATTTACCAGGGGTAAATATAAGTGGAGGCCCGCCGGATGCTTTAGCCAGTAGAATAGTTCCTTTCGGAGATAATTTTTTATTGGAAATAACTCGAGATGCGATTTGTTCGGATGATTTGGCATCTTTTGCTGCTAAAGATTAAATGTTTTCCCTTAACATTATTTGAGAGCATTGGTGAGGCAAACCTTTTCTTAAAGGCCTGAGGCATTTGCTGCAACGCACCTTTGGTTTTTTCTCAATAGTGGTTCGCTCTATAAGAGGATGTTTTTCTTTCATCGTTGAACGACCAATTCAGCATATTAGACAACAACACATCGTGCCTCTTGTTTCAGGTCTCACTTGTATTGACTTAAAATCAAACAAAGAAGGGAGTGCAACTTCTTTTCCCTCTTGTTTCCTGTGCAAAGTAATTCTACACGATTCGCAGAATCCTTTTGGTACCCGAGTATCATTGATATTGATCTTGGTTTTGTACAGTTGGCATATTCGATCTGCTTGAAAATTAGTATGCTGTCTTAAAGATTTTTTCAGACAGAGCAAGCACACAAACTTTCGATTTTCATCATGATTCTTTGCTTGATTTGGCATCGTGGCAATTCACTAAATTTGACTTTACTAAACCCAACTCTGCCTTTTACAAAATTTAACCTAAACTTATATTTGATATTAATCTACTTAACATAGTAACACATATTATTAATTAAAAACTATTTAAATAAAGGAAATATTTACTTGATTTAATTGAGGTAATATTAAATTACAAGGAAATAATTCTTGAATAGTTCTTTCCTTACCAGGAAACAATTGTTTAAACTATTTACTTGTAAGGAAATTACATTATTGATAATTGTCACACTTAATAAACTAATAATACTTGTCACGCGGGTTGTTTTATTTTAAAACCCTTCAACCTAATTAGTTGTTTAGTTAAAGTAATTTTCCTCCGACTGGCCCTCAAAACTTTGCATTGGTCAGATATTTTAGTTAACTTATCTAAATTTCTTAAGTCAATTATCTTTGTCAATATAAAAAATATTTGGTTTTCTCACAATTGTTCTGTTTTCAGATAAATAAATATTTTTATTTTCTATGTAGGTATCCTTAGAAATCCTTCTTAACCATTTTTTTAGAATTTTTTTGCATTCTGGCAGTAGTTTATACCTTAGGAAATGTTGGTATATTCACGCTATGCATACGTGGCCGTCTAGGGAGCCATGGCCTGCCCACTTTTTTTTTGCAAAGACCTTTTGTTTTAGAAATATAGGCAATTATTTTAGAAACTATGGGTTTTATTTTAGAAATTGAGGGGTTGACCCCCTCCACTTTGAAGGCCGTGTCAACGCCATTGGCATAAGCCAATTCAAATCATGCTTTAAGTAGCAAGTCACTATTTTGGTCTATAAAATGAAAACTAAACAAGTACCGATAAAATAATCATTACAAAAATTGTTGGTATTACATAGTAGAACACTCATGTAACCGTTATTTTAAAAATAATGACCGAGTTTCAAAGTAATCGGTAACGCTTTGAGGCGTAAATAGCAAAAAACTGACAAAACTTCAACTAAAATTGCAATAAATCCTACATCAGTCATCCAATCAGGCTGAAATTTCGTCCAGAGTTTGGTGTGACTATTGGCTACATTTTCACTAATTTTTATCAAATTATATTGAGTGGTTCAAATTCTACAAGTGTTTTTATTGGCGCACTAAAAAAGTCAAAATTTGACTCAATTTGAAGATTCAAATTAAATTATTTTCCGCGGACAAAATTGTCCATTTTATTTTATTGAACTTCATAAAATTAAAATAAGAATCTTTTTAATCGAGACAATCGAGGCAAGAAGCGAAAAGAAAATTCTGATGATTACCTCATCATTTCTTTAAAACAAATATAATCTAAAAGTTAGTTGGCTGAATGTATTTTTTTTATGTTTTTGTTGTTGTTTATAAATTTTTATTTTTCGTTTTAACGATTTCTATGCATAAAATAAGCGATATGAAGTATTGTAATCATGTAAAAATTAGAAATATTTCAATCATGTAAAAATTAGAAATATTTCAATCATGTAAAAATTAGAAATATTTCGATCATGTAAAAATTAGAAGTATTTCAATCATATAAAAATTAGAAGTATTTCAATCATATAAAAATAAAAGAAAAATTACATTTATTATTATGTTTTATTTTTCTACTTTGTTGTACTTTATGTTGTTCATTATATACCATTATAATATTGAAATATTAAAAAAAAATTTTTGTTTGGTTTGTTATATACCATTATAATATTGAAAGATGTTTGAAAATTGTTTTTTATGTTTATTATATACCATTATAATAATGAAATATTTTTGAAAAATGGTGGTTTTAATTATATACCGTTATAATAATGAAATATTTTTGAAATTTGTTCTATTTTTGAATTTTTTTTCTTTTTTGTATATCTATTTTTGTATATCTATTGTATCTATTTTTGTATAGTTAATTCAAAAGGCTGTAATTATGATGTTAAATTTGCTAATTTATTTGCTTAGAATTGAACTTTTGAAGTTTTCTTTTGAATTTGTAAAATGCTAAAATTAATATCAGTTACTGCGACTGCCACTGCTCTTTCTTGTTTCGGATGCCACTCATTATACCATAGTTTAAATACTAAAGTTGAATGTGAGATAAAAGAAAAAAATTTAACTAGTAACAAAAAATTAGATTTAAATGAAACTTGTCATAAGGTTGCAATTATTGGCTCTGGAATAGGAGGTTGTTCTGCTGCCTATTTCTTAAGGTACAAATAATTAATTTATATCTAAGTTATTTGCTCAAGTTTTACTGCTTAATTATATCATAAAAATTTAAAATAATAAAAAAGATAAGAATAAATGTTTTGAGTGGATTGTTTTGATAAGGAACTTATTTTCACAAGAAAATTGATGCCAAATGTGAAGATTGATGTTTATGAGAAAAGTCATATTGTAGGAGGTCGCTTATCTATAGTAAAAGTTGGAGACCATGAATTTGAAGCAGGAGGTAGCATTATACACAATAAAAATCAATATGTGGTTAACTTCATGAAAGAAACAGGTACATTGTTTACAAATTTTTGTTTTCATGTTAACACAATAAAGTACAAGGGGTAGAAATTCTAAAAAAGCTCTTTTTTCAATAGTTTTTTAGTTAAAGTTATTTTTGTTTAAGATTTTTTTAAACCACTCTTTCTAGTATATAGAGATGAGATGAAAAACTGTTAAAAATCATTTAAAAACAGAGTTTTTGCTTGTTGGGTCTTTTTCTGTTAAACTGTAAATGTTCAAAAATTGAAAAGTCTAATTTTATTAAAGATAATGCAACTTTTTTTTCCATTTAATTTATTTATTAGTTTTTAGGATATAGATTAGTTTGTAAGGTTTCAGTTTAGTGATTTCTATGTTAGATAGGATATCAAGGAGCCTGTTGTGTAATGTCTATTGGTGAAAACATGACATATGTTCATTTACTTTTTAATCTTTTCATTAACTAATACCTTTTCCCAAAAGTTATAAGTAAATGCTTGAAAATTTTTTAATGATTTTTTTATTCCTTTTTACCTAGGTTATAAGATCACTTCCACTTATTTGAAATATTATAGGCATAACCAGTGACATTATCACAAACAAACCAAATGTTTTAATAGGGTATTAGCTTGGTTTGCTGGTGTCATATTGATTATTTTTTTGATTATTCATGGAGTCTTAAATTTAATGACCGTTCATTCATTAAGGTTTGATAAATTTTCAGTTATTGACAAATAGTCTTTAATTGAGGGTCTATTATCTAATCCTTTTGCAATTGTGAATGAAATAAACCTAATACAATCATAGTTATTAATTGGGGTCTAAGTAGAAAACATTTATATCATGTTTATCTGCATTTTATAAGAGATAAAAAGACTAATAATAAAAAGACTAATAACTAAATAATTCGTCTTGAATTTCATCACTAAAAAGTCTTTTTAAAAAAGTCTAAAAGTGTTTGGTTTTAGTTAAGGTTTGCATTAACTCTAGGTCTTTTAAAGGACAAAAAACAAAAAAATGTGTTTGATTATAATGGATTCTCATTCAAGATGTACCAATGAAAAATTATTTTTACCATAAGCAGATATGAGTGCTTTTTTATTTATTTATAAAAGCAGCTTCTACGAAGAAAGTTTCGTCATCTTTATTAATCAAGTCATCTTTCTTTGATAATCAAAGCAGATGGTATTTCTACAACTGATTCTCTTAAGGTTATTTTCAAACTTTCAGATTTACTATGATCTTGATTCAAGCATTTCAGAAATTGCATTATACATTACTTTTTAGAAGTATTATTTGCGTTATATATTACTTTTAATGACTTCATATTAATAGCAGTGTTTAAAAAATGTAAAACAATATATAACCACTTTATATAATTAAACAACATGACTTTTATTTTTTATTAATTATACTAAGAATTAATTCAGTTTTTTGAACGAACCAATGAAATGCGTTGAAAAATGTAATTTATGTCTTAAAAGTATAATAAAGGTGAGGCTTATTAGAAAGCTGCTCAAAATAAATAACTAAAACTGCTGTTAGTGACTTGTAGTAGCGAAAGAGTTGATAGGAGTTTTAATATTATAATATTTATCTGTCATTTTTCTGTTAAAATAAGATAATAAATATTAAACTGTTTATTATGTTAAATATTTATTGTAATCATTGTTAAGTTAAATATTTGTTATCTTATTTTAATGGATTAATTAATTATATATTTTTAAGGACTTCAACCCAACGTTAAACCTGAAAAGAATTTTGGTATCTATAATAATGAACATTTTGTTTTTGTGGAAAGTGGAGTTAAAATTTATAATTTTCTAAAATTATTGTGGAGATATGGGCCATATACCTTATACAAAATGAATTTAGTAGTGAATGAAACATTAAAGCAGTTTGATAACATATATAGCTTGCAAGATTATCAAAAAGCATATAGGTGAGCCATACTTTGAAAAGAACATTATAATTGCCATACTACTTGTTTTTGTGTCTTTTTGTATTACACAAACAGCTAAGAACAATAATAGAACTTTTTAAGGACAAGTTCAAACTAGAGTTTACTAAAAACTCATTCACAAAGCAATATTTTACATTAATTTACATAATTATATTTTGACTCTAAATGCATGTTGTAATTTAATTTTTTTTATATTATTTTAAACTTTGCCCTTTTAGAACTGTAGAGGAACTTCTTGTAGATATTGGAGGGGAAAAAATTCTGCAATACACTAAGGAAACTCTGGCAAATGTAATGTTAAAAGAAGGAGTTAGTAAAAAGCTAATAGATGAACTAATTACTGCTGCTATTAGAGTAAATTATGGACAAAATACAAACATAAATGCTTTTGCAGGTATATGTGAAAATGAAATTATTTCTTGTACTTTATTCTTGTACTTATTACTTTATATGGATTTATATAAATTATTTATATAGTTATGAGAATTACTTCTAATTCCATTGTATAGTTGATTTTTTTTTTAAATCTTAAAAAGCTGTGTTAAAATTATATTTATTAGTGTAAGGCATTTTTATTATGCCATAAAATCTCAAAGCAAGGCCTATATATATATATATATATATATATATATATATATATATATATATATATATATATATATATATATATATATATATATATATATATATATATATATATATATATATATATATATATATATATATATATATATATATATATATATATGTATATATATATATATATATATATCTATATATATATATATGTATATATATATATATATATATATATATATATATATATATATATATATATATATATATATATATATACAAAATGTTTTTTTATAAAGGTTTTTAGTATACTTGTTAACGAGGGTATCAATATTCCCTCGAAATATTGTAAAAAAAATATTTTTAACAAATAGATATTAAACCATAAAAAGAAGTTTTATTTAAAATATTTATACAAATAAAATCTATTGAAGATGGCAACATTTAATATATATATATATATATATATATATATATTAGGGTGGGTCAAAAAAAAATTTTTTCTTGTTATAGGCTCTAAACATTGCTAATAGTTATTAATATTGATACTATCCAATATGAGAATGATTGTGATAGATTTAAAGGGCGCAACTCTATTGGGAAAATTACCGGTACTCTAATATTTTGGAGAAAAAAAGTTTTTCAAAAGTAGGTACTCAAAAGAAGGGAAAAACCTGGTACTCAAAAGAAGGGAAATTTTATAAAAAATTCAAAAATAATAATCATTTTATAAAAATCATATTGCCGAAAAAAATTGTTATTAAAAAACATGTCAAAATGCACCTTTTTCACTTTTAGTTAAAAAAACTATAGTTATTATGCAATAAAATCTAAAATAATAATTTTTATATAAAAAAATTATTATTTTTGAAATTTTTATAAAATTTCACTTTATTTGAGTACCTACATCACATAATTTTGGAAAACTTTTTTGAATAATAATAGGGCCTGCTAATTTTTGTAATTATAGTTGCGGGTGGAAGACATTGTTCAATCCATAAAAGTAAATACTTTCCTAAATTAGTACATAAAAAAACAACTTTCTAGACCATAGCCAGGTTAGCAACTCTAAAAAAAAATTTTATGACCCACCCTAATATATATATATATATATATATATATATATATATATATATATATATATATATATATATATAATATATATATATATATATATATATATATATATATATATATATATATATATATATATATATATATATATATATAGCCGGCTCGTAGGCATTTCTTAGTGTGTGTAAAAAAAATTGTTACCTTAATTCTTTATTACCCTGTAACAAAAAGGCTCACGCCTCCTTCCTTACTGATGGCGCCAAATATTTTCAGAGCTCGTCTTCAATTGCGGATCTCTTGCTTATAAAGCAAGCGCTATAACCACTGTGTAGCAGCCGCACATTTTTTTATGCATATAGAGAACAAAAATATAATCATATTTTTAAACTAAGGTTATTGAAAATTCAAAACTTTATAGAAACTTAAATAAGACAAATTTTATTGTTGTTGAAGTGGCAGTCGTCTGGCTTTCATTGAGCAAATATAGGCCTAATCTCCCCTATATTTAACAACTTGATTATTTTGCTCTCAATAGAAGTTATCTGAAAAGTATATCAAACAATTTTTTCTTGAACTTTGATCTAGAATTAGGAACTTGGTTTTCTTCAACTTCGTCGAAAAACTATTTTTTCTTACTTACTCTTTCAGCTGACAGATTGGTAAGTTCAAATGTTAGATCTAAAGTTGTTGCCAAAACTTGTGCTATGGTAACGTACTCATCAAATTTAGTCTGATTGTAACTGGATTCTGAAAATGCTACAGTAGATTTTAATGCTTCTATGGATTTTTTGATCTTTGAATAATTTGTCTGCATAAGTTTGTTAGTGTAGTTTATTTTGTTCAATACATCACACTAAATAACAATTTCAAATAAAAACTCCAAAGTATCAATTTTAGCAGCAATAGATTTGGCCGGTACTTTGACGGTTCTATTATTTTTCGAAACTTTACAGAGCGCTTCATATTTTCCTCGATTGCTTTCACAGCTCTGATGTGACTCTTATATCACTTATTTAACGTGATTAACTGAGATTTAATTATTTGTGATGAGCACTTGGATTCTAAAATACTCCAACATTTTGAGGAACCAGAAAAAAGTTATCAAGTCTTTAAATAATTCTAAGAAATGTCACAGTTTCCAATCCCACTTTTACAGAATCAACAACAATAAGATTAAGTTTATTTCTATCTAAAATATTTTTTGCTCCAACCCATGATCTGTAAAATAAAATTTTGTTTATATGTTTCTTAATTTACAGCAGTTTCTTAATTTATAGCAGTTTCTTAATTTATAGCAGTTAATTTAGCATGTATTATATCAAAAAAAGGAGAAAATTTTCAAAAGTTTTTAAAACTGTAATATCATCAAAAATGATAAAGGTTAATAAACTCTCTCGGATGTTCACCACCACTGAATTGTTACATTTTTCTATGACTAGATATTGTATAATAAGAATTACTTGTTACTGATGACTGGCATCTGGTGTTCAATCTGTAATAATGGAGTAGTATTTGGCTTTTCAAATTTTTTTAAGGATTTCCTTCCTAGTAGTACAAGCCACTAACTAATAAATTTTTTCTTGGATATTTTTGCCTAAGTAATGTGTTTTTTTTTTGATTTTCCACTGCTTTGGAAAAAGGATACTCCATAATTAGGTCAAATTCTGCTATAAGTTCAGCTAATTTTATGAAATTTCCTTCGCTTTCTTTATACAGTTTGTCAGATGATCCTCTAAATTCATTTGAGGATCATCAAAGTAATTAATTTGAAGTCAGTGTAAATAAGAAACTGGTGCTAGAAGCCCTATTTATAACTCTAAAGAAACTCTTAAGAAACCTTTAAGAAACTTTTAGTACTAGATTAGTAAAAAAGAGCTATTACAATAGGAAACTCCTAAGTATTTGCCTATGTGCTTAGTTTTTTTTAATAAAATATGAGAACTACTGAACTAAAGTTATTTATTAAAGTTACTTATTATCTTATATTTTAAAAAAAATTTATAAAACTATTTATTAGATTATTATTAAAAAATAAATCAAATTAAATTAACATTCAAATTGCTTTAATAAACATGTTGTTATTAAGCTTTAATAAACATGTTGTTATTATTGTTAATAAAGAAATTTTTCTCTTAGCGATTGTTAATTTTTAAAATATAAATAATTAAACTTTTATCTGAAAATGTTCAAATAAAAAAATTCAAACATTTTCAGGTTTGAATTAAACTTTATTCAGATAAGACTCATTATAATATTTAAATAGAATTTAATCGTTATGAAAATGCATAAAAATAGTTCTAGTTTTTAATTTTTGTTGCTTTAACTTCAATTAAAAAAAACTGTTAAAAAAGTCATTTTAAAAACAGCTGCTTTGCTGTTTTTGTTTTTTCATAAAAAAACAGCTGTTTTACTGTTACTGTTAAACAGTGTTTAGAAACCCTATTATTTTACTAATTAAGAAAATAAAATCTATAAGTGTTCTTTTGTAAATAAATGTACATATTGAATGTCTATTTTGTTTCAATTTTTTTTCTCAATTTTAAATAATTAAAATAACTATTACATTTTTTATTATCAATTAACATAAATTAATTTCTTTCTTTTCTTGACATGAATTAGAATGTTTGTTTTTTTCTTTGTTTTTTTCATTATTTCTTAAAATTTTATATTATTTTTATTTTTATTTTATTGTAATGATTGATTTTTTTTTCTTCAAAAATGCTAATACTTCAAGCTTGAAGCAAAGATCATAATAAATATATAATTTAATTCCGATAAAAAATATATGATTTAATTTAAAACTAATTTAATAAAAATATATAATTTTATTCTGATAAAAAGTATTAAGTTTTTTAAATTAAATAAATGATTCAAAAAATATATTTAAGTTGAATAAAATTAAAGTTGCATTAACTTTACATTTAAGTTATGTGTTTAACTTAACTGTCAAATTTATTTAAAAAAACTAACTATTGTTCAATATTTAAGTTTTATTTATTCTAGAAAAAAATTTGCTCATTTTTATTGTAATTATTTTTTGGTTTTCCTTCATAAACATTTTTTTTTTACTAAAATTTAAATTCCTTGTTAACGTGTTTCAAGGCTGGTTCAAAAATTTGCACAAAATGTATGTTAAATTTTTTTTTAAATGCTTGTTAAAGTGCAACAATTATTTTTTAATAAATGGTATATACAGCGGTATAATTTAAAAAAATGGTATTTGGAAAAATAATCTTTGCTTTCGCAACAAATTTTTTTCATTTTCTTACTCCTAATTTTATTTTTATCTCTATAAATCTCAAATCGTAATGTTGCTTCTTTTTCTCTTTTTTATAAATACTATAATAGGCACTGCTCTAAAGAGCTAGCGCTTCTTGTGACTTTCATTGTAATTGTTCCAAAGTACTAAAAAAATACTTTTTTGTCTAGATTTTTTCCTTGAACATCAGTTCTTTAGAATTCGCTTTTGTTTTTAAATTAAACAATTGTCTTTCTTTTTTTATTTTAATTATTTTGTTTAATATTTTTTAAAACATTTTTTATTTTTTGCTACTTTAATTTTAATTATTTATTCTATAATTTAAATAAAATCTTTGTTTTATCGAGTTTTTTAAATTTATTTTGTTTAGTATCTATTCAAGCATTCTTTTCTCTGTTTTTATTTTAAATTAAATAGCAAAAAAGATAAATTTATCAAATCGCTCACACCAGCCTAAAGATGACCATAAGGCTAGCGCTTTTTTTTGTGTATTGGTATTATATTTTAAACGGAAAAAACTGGTATATATATATATATATATATATATATATATATATATATATATATATATATATATACATACCAGTCAGTGGTATATATATATATATATATATATATATATATATATATATATATATATATATATATATATATATATATATTATATATATATATATATATATATATATATATATATATATATATATATACACCAATGCAGCTCGCATTTTGCCTGCGAAAAGGCGATTTGCCTACGCGTTCAGCAGTTATGCATTACGCAAAAACTTTTATCTTATAGAATATTTAAATTTTCTTTTTATATTGTTTATGTGATGTTCATTCAGAAGTATTAAAGTCGTAAGTAAAAGCATTTAACCGCAATTGTAAACTAATAGATTTTTTGTTAAAGAAACAATTTGTTTAATAATTTTTTTTTTGTTTTTAAAAATTACTTAAAGAAAATAAAGTGTTTTAAGTTTAAACTTTTCATCATATTTAATTTTAAATATTAGATTTCATAATTTTAAAAACATTACTTTTAATTTATTTTATTAAATTTAAATATTTTTTTATTAATCATATTTTTTAGTAAATAAATTTATTAAATTGAATTAAAATTCTTTTATTTAATTTTAAACAGCATTTTAAAATTTTTTAATTTTAAAATGCTCCATTTTACAATTTTTTTTAATGATAAAATTTCCAAAGTAAAAAAAAGATTTAATAAATTTAATTCAAGTTTCTTTAAAATGTTCGTATTACATTTAACTTTATTTTAATTTCAGTTAAGTTTCAGGTAAGTTCCAGTTCCAAATACTGGTCTGAATAATACGCTGAACAAAAGCGCATCATTTTCCAGTTTTTCTTTTTCCTTTATCTTACAGTTTCATTCATTATTTACAGAAGCGCATTATTCGTTTTTTAACTACAAGTTAATAAATAACGTCAATACAAAAAAGTTCTTTTAAACTCGAGTTATAAATGTTATGTTTGGGTTTTCCCTTAGCCGTTTGCCAAAGAACTTTTTTATAAAACAAAACAAAATTCAAACCAATTACAAATAAACTCTTTAAAAGCCCAACTTATATGTATTTTATTTTTAAAACAAAATTAGTACTAGAGCTATAAATATAAGATACATAAATTTCAAAATTATAATGATATTTGTTAAAAACAAATTCTGCTTATAACATCTTAAAACACTTTTTTTTTTTTTTTTTTTTTTTGGATTGAGTAAAAAAATAGTAAAAATACATTAGGTTTCACTGTACATAAAAATAAAATATTTTAATGAAAATAAAAAAAAAGCCGAAAAGCAGTAAATTTCGTTTCTTTACAATTTTTATTTTATCAAAGCAAACGTTTTTTTAAAAAGAGGAAAACCCAATTTATGCGTTTAGTTGTAAGTACATTTAAAAGTGTTAAATTTAAATTATTTTAAAAAAATATATTAAAAAAAAAAAACAAGCATAAATCGAATGTTTGAAAGCAAAAAAAAAAATGTTTAAATAAGTATAAGATTTTAATACAAAAAGACTTTTTTTTTAATTAACATTAAAACTTTAGTTTTTTTTATAACAATATTGTTCAATTTAAAGCTATTTCGTTTTAAAGCCATTTCGTTTCTAAGACTAACAATGGTTTTTATTGTCATTTTAAATTTAATTACAATGAAGTAAAAACGCAACTGACATAATTTAACTTTTAACAATGTAAATATCTTTATTCAGTAAAGTTACATTTATTCATGTCTCGCTTTTCCGTTATGCAACAAAATCTCGTAACAAGGCCTATATATATATATATATATATATATATATATATATATATATATATATATATATATATATATATATATATATATATATATATATATATATATATATATATGTACTAATTTATTATTGCTCTGTTCTTTAAGAACATTAAGCACTATATTTGTAGAATACACTAACATAATTTATATGTATATGTATCAAGCCTTCCCCAGAAGCCTGTGTGGTCACACGTCTTGTTCATCCATGCTTAAAGTAATTTTTTTAGACAAATTTACCGCACTTTTGAGTAGTAAGCGTTTTAAGAATTTGCGACAAAATAAAGCTATAAGAAACTAGAGAATAAAACAGCAATACTTGAAAGAAAGAACCAAATACTATACAAAATAGAAAATCTAAATGAAATAAGCTAAAAAAAATTGAATATTAAAAAGAGAAAATTGTCAAAAAAATAATATACCTAAATATTTTACTCTTTGTTTTCTTATTTTTAGGGTGTTTGTTATTTTTCACTACCAAAATTGATACAAGTCGAGGTAAAAAATTTTTGATGTACAATTTTTTAGCAACTTTTTTCAGTAAGTATATTAAATTTTTTTAGTCAGTGTATTAAATACTTTGTAATTTGCGCTAGAAAAACAGACAATTTTTAAATTTGTTTTTCAAATGTCTTTGCTAAACTTTACTGTTTTTATTAATGCACAGGAAAACAAGAATACTAATTACTATTTATTTGTAAAAAAAAAATTTTTTTTTCAACAAGTTTTTCATGTAAAAAAAATGAAACGATGCTCCAAAATCTTGTGGGCTAGTGCATTGTTAATTTACTGAACTTTTTTAAAGAAATTTTCAGGAGCCTATTTAAAACTTTTTTTTTAAGTTTTTAAATACATTTTTTTAAACAAAGCAATCCTTATGTTCATTATCTCTATTAATATTATAAATAAATAAAAGCGAAAAGATGAAAAATCGAGCTCTCGCAATATAGTTTTTCTCACGAAAGTATAAGTATTGTTGTAACTAAAATAAAAAACAATTTCATTAAAAAAAATTAATTGCATAATATACTGCTAATAATAAAAAGCTCAATTGTTGCAACAACAAAAATTAAAATTAAAAAAGAGCTTCGATTTAAATGAGGAGCAGCTTACACAGCTCCTCAAGTTCGTTTTAGCAGAGCTTTTCTCCGTTCTCGTGCTAATTTATTCCCGCTGAGGCCTGAAAAGATGTTTTTTTTTTTTTTAACAATGACTTTAAAAAAAGAATACAAAAATTGTAGAAAAATTGTATGAAAAAAAGAAAAATTTTTATTTACTTTTTTTAATTTTAAAATTTTCTAGTTTATTTAATTTAACTTGATATTTCAATACAATTTTGTTTACTTCTTTTAGGATTTTTTTTTTTTTTTTCTGAGTAAGTAAGTTTAGCTTTTTGTTACAAATTATTGAAACATTTTATAAGTTAAAAGTAGCTAACTGCCGTGGTTAGTTTGTCTCAAAAAAGTACTTTAAACCTGGACAAACAAGGCGACCACACGCGCTTCCCAGGAAGGCTTTATTTGTATACAGAGGTTAAGGTAGAATAAGAAATCAAGTAAAACGGTGTGAAAAAGTTTAACGGATGCGGAATAGCCCATTCGGGTGCGGAATTATTCCTTCAAATTTTGCCTTTTTGCTGTGTTTCAAGGTCTCGGTTGATGACCAAAATTACTATTTCTGTCCACAATTATTTGCTTAGGTTTACACATAACAATTATTTGCTTATATTTAAGCATTTGTTAAATTAAATGCTTATTTTAGAGAAAAAAACAATTGATGAAGCATACAGATGTTTTAACCTTGGCAATGTGAGTTGCTGTATTGTTTAGAAAATATGATTATTAAAAGCAGATACATGTTCTTGACAATTAAAATAATCCTTGAAGTCACAAATTCCTGTTATGTATAAGAAATCATCAAGAAGAAAATTGTGTAATTCTTTCAGTAGAGTTTCCAAATATTTTTGGGATATTTGATTTTCATTTTGTTCATTTCTTGGTCATGAATATAGATCAAAGCATTACATTAGTTAGGTTAAGATGTGATTTTCATTAACAGATTCTATGCGTGACTTAGAACTTATCACCAACTTCTGATAGAAAATAGCATGATTAATTAAAGGTTGATTTCTTCCTTCTGATTCTTGGAAAATACCATTTTCCATGACCAGTTTGATTTCAATTAAAGCATTTATGAAATGCAAATGTAAAGCTTTAAATTTGTGCACAACGGCCTTTTACTATTCAAAATGATGAGGCAACCCATCCTGTACTAAAAAGGCCTAAACTTCCACCTCAGCTTTTGCTGCAGAAAGCTCTCTCTTGTTTTTTGAAGATTGAGTGTTGCATTAAGCAAAAAGAGTATCAATGAAGCACTTGACATGGTTAGTTGCAACACATGCTTTAACTGCATCATTTACAGCCAGTTCAGAGCATGACTATCTAACTTGTCTAACTTGTCGAGGAAACTTTTGCTTCATTTGTTTGAAGACGCAATTATTTGACCCTGTCATAACGGAGACACCACTACAAAATCTTAGTAAACTGTTGGATAAATAGGAATCCAAATATCTATGCCAATTAAATTAGTTTAGTATCTGAGTTGCGATTGCTGCAGAATTGACTTCATTAAACTCTAGTGACTCCACTTAATACTTTTTTTTCATTCACTTATAAAATCAATTCAATTTGTCTCCACAAACAACGTTTGAATGTAACACTCTGCCAGCATTAACACCACTTAACTGCTGTAGATCAATGTGTTCAAGATAATTACTGTAAGGTCTATTGTTTTTAGCAATATAGTATGCCATTTTAAAAACACGTTTTAAGTCTGCTTAGTTACTTTTTTTTTTCTGGTTTCAAATGCTCACCTTTTCTGAGTTCAAGAAGTTTGCAAGCCTGACTATAGGCTTCAGAAGCTTTGTGTTTAAATATTTTCTTTCTTAATGATATTAACTGTAAATTGCGAGTTTTTCCATAGGGCATTACGGAGCATGATGATGTATAAATCATTGCTAACATGCTAGTAAAATTAATAACTTGAAATGTTAATTAATCAATCCATCAAATATATTCTAAATTATATTTCAGAGATATCTAAGTAATGTACAAAAACTATTAGTAAAATATTACTATTAATAATTATAACAATAGCAATAAAAATAGACAAGAGCTTCTTTAAATAATGCATTTAATATTTATAAAAACAACAACAACAAAACTTCAATTTTTACAAAACTGACAACAAATACTTATTGCTGATAATAAACAAACATTTAAAAAAAAAAAAAAAAACATCAAAATCTACAGCCACGTCAACTAATGCTTTAAAAGTTTGAAAAATCCTATTAAAATACTTGAAATTTTTATTGCTTGAAGCAGGGATGGATCCAGTATTTTTTGGTGTTGGCTAACTTTTATACATATAGAAAACTACAAACATTTATATGTTTATACTTGTCAAATAAAGATGCTTTGCAAAAAATTGTTGTAATTGAAACCTTAGAACAAAAAGTCCCAAGATTTACTATGCCACTGCCCCAAATGTAAGAACAACAAGTTGTTAAAATATATTTTTTTTTACTCCTTTTAACTCAATTAATATTCATTAATAAACTTTAAATTTCATACAATAATCTTTTAGCGTTGGTAAAAGACGATGGTCGCAAAACAATTTCGTGATTTGTTGGCTATGGAGGAACGCCATTCCCCCTACTTTAACCCATATATATATATATATATATATATATATATATATATATATATATATATATATATATATATATACATATATATATATATATATATATATATATATATATATATATATATATATATATATATATATATATATATATATATATATATATATCTTTATAGTGTAGTCGAAAGACTTTTGTGGTAAAAAAAAGTCTCTTTAACAACAATTACACAACTTCAACAATTAAGCTACATTTTAATGTTGTCTAAAAGTTAAAACAATTAAAATAATATAGAAGTACATTTAGTTTTATCGTTTTTTAAAAAACCACAGTAATAATGACTAAAAAGTTTTTTTAATTAATAGTGTTTTTATTTTATTAAAATTTATTTTTAAACATGAGCGGAGTGTTGCTACATCAACTATCTTATAGCCTGCTGCTATAAGGGAGTGTTGCTACATCATCTTATAGCGTGTTGCTACAAGGAAGTGCTGCTATATTGCCTATCTAATAGCCTACTGCTACAAGGGAGTGCTGTTATATTGACTATCTTATAGCCTGCTGCTACAAGGGAGAGCTGCTATATCAGTTATCTGATAGCCTGCTGCTACAAGGAAGTGCCGCTACATCGACTGAGGGTTTGTTTTGGGCAAGCTATCTATCATTAAAAAAAAAAAAAACTTTTTATCTAAGTTATTAAACTTTTTCTGGTCTAGTTTTAACTTAGGGTTCAAGAGAGTCTAGCACAGGGTTCAAGAGAGTCTAACCCTACAGTTTATGGAAGAAACTTTTCGACTACCATGCAAGGCTCTATATATATATATATATATATATATATATATATATATATATATATATATATATATATATATATATATATATATGTATATATATATATACACACTATTTATAGCTTAAATATTTTAAAATAAACATATAACTCCAGATCTTTTTGATGAAAATATTATATTAAATAAGAAAACTTTTTTCTGCCATGATATATTTCTGCCATATGTAGAAATACATCAGCAATTTTTAACACAGACTAAATCCATAGCATTAGATATTGTATTAATGTTATAATTCTTTTGTTATAAGTCTTAAATAGGTGAATTAAGGACTACAGAAGTAAAGACTTAAGAAAGAAAGAAAAAAATTAGTGGCTATCAAAGTAAAGACTTAAAAAAATAATTATTATTAGCACTTTAATAAATTTTTAATTTAAAACTAATTTTTTTTTTTACTTAGTTTTGTGTGAATAAAAAAAATTTAAAGTTTTTTTTTTTTTTGAATGAAAAAAATCTATTGAAAAATTGACAATTCTATTTAAAAAATTTTTTAATAATAATAATGCAAAAGAAAATTTTAATAATTCTATTAAAAAAATATTTTTTATTTATTTCATTATTTTTAATAAAGTATTTTATTTTCTAGGTTTAGTAGCCCTGGCTGGTATCCAAGGTGATTCTTTGTTCTCTATAAAAGGTGGAAATTATCAAATTTGTAAAAACTTATTGTCAATCTCTTATGTCAATTTAATGTTAGATCAGGAGATATCTTCTATTCAAAAATGTTATGATAATTCCACTAAGAAAGTCTATTATAACTTAGAGTTTAATAATGATGAAAGATCAAAAGTTAATTATGATTGTGTTATTATTGCTGCTCCGTTAGAAGCACCAAAATGTATTCTTAAATGCAATAATTGTTTAAACTGGCCAAGTACACAAGGATCTTTTAAACAAATTTTTGCAACCTTTGTTCAAGGTTGTTTAAAGTATGACACATTTAACTGTAAGAGTGAAAATGAAGTTCCATCATTTATTTTAACAACTGAAAATCTCAAATTAAAGTATACTTCAATTGGAGTTCAAACAGATGTCTATGGAATTATGCCAGAAAAGAAAATTTATAAGCTGTTTTCTCACTACAAGCTTAACGATGATGATTTAAAAAGCTGTTTCCATCTAGATAATTCATTAACTCCAAAGCCTGTTGTAGAATGGTATGCTTATCCTGCATATAATGTGCCTGAAGTTTTTGCACCTTTTAAACTTGATGATGGAGTTTTTTATGTAAATGCAATAGAAAGAGCTGCCTCAGCAATGGAAATGAGTGCTATAGGAGGAAGAAATGCTGCTATATTGTCATACCAATATTTGGAGAAGTAATATTTTAAATGAGTAAAATGTCACAATTCTATTATTTTTATTTTTGTTGAAAAAAAATAGTTTTTTTTAAGTTTTTTGATTTTGTAAAATGCTTTTTTCCATTTTGTGTCATTCTTTTAAGAGCATCATCTAATTTAATATATTCTTTCAATGCCTATATTTTAAAAGTTAAAAATTTATTCTTTTTAATTTGCTAAACTTTTTAAAAAAAGTTTAACTATCACGTTTTCTATTTAATATTAATACATAATTAATAACAATGATGAAACTTTAATTATTTAATAGCATTTATTTTTCATTGATATCTTGTAAAATAACATATTTTTTAACAGAAGGCTTTTGCTATGCAAATTTTTATGATGTATTTTTACTATATAAAACATTTAAAATCTAATTTTATAAAATCTT